TCCGACCTTAAGGAATCAAAATATGATCGGATCAGCCGGGTAGGTCTCACGATTCTTTCCTTGGACCTGATCTCAGCTACACTCGGATGGCGCCCACCCGATTTTAGGGGGAACATGGTCATCTGAAATCGGGGCACCTGCCATCCACGTCCACCCTGATGATTCCAGAGAGTGCGTACGTAGCTCGCGGGAAAAAAAGGGGCCTGACACCACACCTCAACACCACCGAGTGGCCAGCAAACGCTCCAAGGCCCTCTTCCACTCGCCCTGACCAGCTGGGCATGACAGCTGTGAGCCAGGCCAGCTCCAGCTGTCAGAAAAACGACCTGCTTCTAGGGGGAAAATGGTCATCCGAACTCGCTTCAATGATTGTTCCAGGGGGTGTAGAAGAAGCCACAGCACAACGACTCACGGACTGATTGACTGACTGAACACGCTCTGCTTTGACACTAGAATCTCACCAATCCACCGAGGATTTTGAAGACTGGTCAGTCGGTGAGTGAAACAGGAACAGCAACAGCAGTAAGCATTCCTTGCATCAACAGTCCCTTTTTCCCTAGCCTTCAGCTCGACCATTAAAAGAAAGGTTGACCTGGTGTTGTAGGGTAAAAGTCCTTCGTAAAACCCATGGTTCTTTGGGGTCTTGGACCCCATTGCAACCATATGGTTCTTCGTCTTTCCTTGGGTGTTTTACGCTTATTTCTGACCTCCTGAGGTTCCTTTCTGGATCTTCCGGAAACCAACAGAGTGAAGCTATAGACCAGGGTCACACAGAAAAGACAATCAAGTTCGGACGATGGCTTCGCAACGTGGAAGACCCAGAACACGTGGTAGACTCATTGGTCTGCCCAGGACCAGTCCTCCATGCAAAATGTGCATCAATCCTCAAAGTTGAGGGGGTTCCGGGGATTTCCGAGCTTCTATGCTTCCCACAACTTGCTTTTACGGAGGATGCTCAGGCTCATGAGGGCCCAACAGAAGTGTTCGTACTTTTTGGAGATCTACATCCCTAGAACCTGAACCTGAGTGACCTCTATTTTGGAGCACCAACCACCTCAAATGTCTTTTTTCCTATCAAAGCAGGGGTCACTCCTCTGGGCTCTAGCTCTGCATTTCTTCACCTTGAAATCTACTGTTGTATCAATCTGACAGCCGCTTACAGCGCTCGCTGTGTGGTATGGATGCAAACCTACACTGGCGCACACACCCCAGCGCACCTCGTGCACCAGCTGGTTCCAGGTTGGGATACGATTTCCCAAGGGGCAGCCACCGCCGCCCTGGTTGGGGCTGTGACCTTGGCAGATGGCCAAATGGAGGTGCATTGGTTCAACAGGTCCAGAGTGATCCTATTTCAATACACACCCAGCTTGCTGGATTTGTTCAAGAGCCTGTGAGACCTCTCTGCGGCGTGTGAGGCGCTTGTTGTTTCCTTGTGTAATTGATTTCCCTGATGAGACATCCAGCTTCTCACAGGTTCTGAACAATACCACCCACCAGATGAAGGCTAGGCCCTTGAGGGGGATCAACCAGAAAGGGATCCACTTGCTGAAGATCAATCAGAGTACCAAGCACACCTTCGCAGCCACTGAGTTCTACAAAACCCACGAAAGGAGGTTGAGGAAAGCAATGATCAGGTTTGAGGGGAATTCTGTCCCTGTATTTATTGCTGTAAAGGGCGTGGTCCAACCGTGTGATGTGAATCGGAGCATGATGAAGCATGCGCGGCTTTTGCTGGACCATGGAGTTATACATGTGTTGTGACTTGGAGTTGTATTTAGGGTTTGGCATTGTTATCTATGTTGTAGAGATGCCTATGATGCTAGTCATATGGAGAGCATCACTAACATCTCAAGCATCTGCTGGAGCTATGTTGTTGTTTGCCCTTGTTATATGCGTGGCAGATTTCGTGGAATCAGTGATTCATGTGTAAACAATTCAAATGTGAACACTGCAGGATGCTACAAAAAGAACATTTCATGAAACTCATACCCTCCTGTGGACCCTCAAAACCAAGCCAGGTGGAACCAAAGAGTCGAAAATCAGGTCCTCTTCAGAGTCCATCTTGGCAGGAACTGAAAACCCATCTCGCTGACTCGCACTGCTCACCCGCTTGAAATCTTTCGCTCAGACACAGGTGGGAGTGCCACAGTCCATGCATCGGGCCGTCTGCGTCTGCATCCAGTTGTGCCACTGCTGGCCTGTCACATCACGCGGCATCGCGGCATCGCGAGGTCTCCTGATCACTCAAGTGTCTCACGTCCTGGTGATCACTCAGTCTCTCAGGGTGGCAAACACAAAACACGTGGCTTTTAGGAGAACACTGAAGGATAAGGTGCTGGAGTTAGGTGCTGGAGTTCTTGTTGAGATTTAAGATGCAGAAGTTCTGCACATGTTTGCCCCATCACCCGCTCTATCTTCGCTCGGTCTACAGGAGTATGGGTCTACAGGCAGTTGCTTTTGGCACGGTTCGGGCAGAGTCCAGGTATGCAAAGGATGCACTTGGGAAGGTGAGATGTGGAATTTGCCGAATCCTTGAGATTCTGGAGGTACGTGGTGCCTGGATGTCTTTCTATCCTGCCACTGCTACTATTGGAAGTTTAGGGGGTTCTATGATGTAGCCAAAGAGGTAGTTCAGTGAAGCCGTCCAAGGGGTCTCTGGACTCCTGGTCAAACTGGCTTTCTCCGGTGATGAAGAAAGCAACTTGAAGCTTTGAGCCATCTAATGGAGTGCAACAAAGAGGAGACCCATAGAAGCTGGTACAGTAATGGCAGAGAATCATCTTTCCAACCCCGTCCAACCCCTCTAAAACCTGTTGCAGTGTTTCCGCTACACCAAGTCCACTCGAAGCATCACTTCCAAATGGCGATAGAAGAAGTGAAGCAACTGTAAGCAACTGTTCTGAACAAATGCATTGGAAATCAGATCCTTCTCCTATTGCTGATGGCTCTCCTCCCAAGAAACTGGAATCAACCACTGATGTTCAGGGGCGGTCCTCATCTTTCACACCAAGTTCAAGCCATCAAGAAACATCAAGAAATCCAAACCCCGTCGCGAGCTCCGATTGGTTATTGTATTTTTTCAAACTCTCGCTGGCACTACTTGCCCGGGGGGGAGGCCCCTTGTAAGTCTTTACTGCCGACCGACGAGCCGACGAGCCGACGAGCCGAGGTCCGTCTTCCGCGCGTCTCGCTTCGCTTTCGAGGCACTCTTGCTGGATTGAGATGCATAGACTTCCTCCCAATCCTCAGAATCAGATCGATGAGGAAACTCCACCAAAAAAAAAAGTGTATACCATATATATATATATGTAACATATATATATATTTATATATTAATATATTGTCTGTTCAAGAAACATTTTTTTCGGGGACAGACACGCTCTCCAATCATATCTTTGGCTCTAGAGAAGGTGGACCCGCATCCAAAGGCTTGGCCTGCCGGTCATCAGAAGAGACACAAACTGTAGAGACTTCAGAGTGGATTGCACCAAGAAGAGACTTGAAGGGACCCCACCTAGCATGGTCATGCGTGGTTTTCTGGGGGATGTGCCATCCATACTCTTCAGTTGGGGTCTAACCATCGGACCGCCCCGCAGCAGGACCGCTTGGACCGCTTGGGACCGCCCAGGAGGACTTGGCACCGCCCTGTTCGTGTTGGGATTCTACGAAGCACCGCCCTGTTGATGCCAAAAGAGGGGGGCAATCGATGAGTAATCCCTAGGGCTTCGGCCGACCGCTCCGGCCATCGGTTCGGTGGGCCAGGGGTGGGTGAGAGGTCGACTGGGGGGTCGAAGAGCACCGGTCCACCGGCTCGGGGATGGGACGAGACAGGAGCACGAGGGAATTGTCTGTTCCAACTTCGACCTCCGACACTTCCACCAGGTGAGGTATAGTGTCGTGCAAAACTCCCGACAAAAATCGACCCTCTGTGAATCCTTCAAATCAACACGTTTCGAGCGAAAGTCTTCACATCAACTCCACGAGTCTTCAGCTGAACCCTCTGTGACACTCTGTGAAGACGCAGGTGAATCCTCCTTCAACTCCACCCCCCAAACTACACACATCTTTCGCGTGCCTTCGTCCCCACCGAGTCCTTTGCCTCGCTGCTTCGCCGTCTCGGTGCGAAACCTCGGTTGCCTCGCCCAGAGTCCATGTGACGATCTTTGTGGTCTCGGTAGGGCATGGCCTTTCGCTCGTACTCATGGAAGCCCTTCTTCTTGTCCGGATTCTGTACCTGAAACCAGCTGGCGACAGGCGACACGAGGAGGTCACACACCTGGAGCAAAAAGAGCAAAAAGAAACGCGGCCACCACGAGGTAACACAGGGAGAAAGGAGGTGGTGCCGACCAGTTGGAGATTTGGAGGAAGAAGTTGGTGGTGCAAAAAGAGAACATGTTCAATGATTGTGTGAAATGACAACAGACAAACATGATCTTGAAACAAAGGTTACTGTCCTGTGTGCTCACAAATACGTATCTCAAAGACCACGAAGAAAAAAGACCTCTTGCTTCCATTGTGATTCTTCAATCCCGTTGATCGCACCACAAGGTTTCACCGGGATCACCAGGACTTGAAAGAACTTCCATTTACCAAAACCCGAACGGTCCAAGGGGGGTCTATAAATAGCCTCGACAAGAGGCAAGAGGTGAGGAACGGGGTGTCCCAAAAGTACGGGGCTTGGAGCGTTCAGCTGGATCTCTCGCTTGGAGCATTAAACGATGTGTCTACGATTTCCTGCTTGGACCCTACCACCGTCTCTTTTCTTCAGCAAGGCACCAAAGCCCAAAAACAACACGACCATCCACTGCAGGGATGAACCTGGGGTAGGCATCCACGTTCCAGTCCAAGTTGCTCGTGTGGGGCGTCCACCAGCCTCCTCCACGTCCATGGTGCCAGATTTCGGCCTCAACGGTTCCTTCGGTGCCGCAGAGGCCTTCTCCTGGGAGGAGGGACTGGATGGAATGTCGAAGTCTATGCTCAACTGGATCTAGACTTGCCAATCAATCTCGCGAGTTGTGGTCCTTCTCCTTCATGGCCAGCAAGGCCTTCTTGTACTCCTTCGGGAAGACCTTCAGCTCGGATCGAAAGAAACGGGTTTCATCGGTTCAATCGATAGAACAACAACAACAACAACAACAACAACAACCCAACACCAAGTTGGTTGTTCCATAGGGCCATGGGGCAGTGTTTCGATCCTGAAAACATGGGAAGTGCCTGAAAACAACGAAAACATCCAGAACTGTGTCTGCTTGAGACTGGTTTTCAGGAAGAAATCAAGACATCTCTCATGGAAGTGTGTTGAGATTCTCCGTCCGAGTCAGAGTCTCCGTGTCCGTGTCCCTTGCTATGTGGTCCTCTTTCATGCGATATATGTAACACATACGCATGGACTCGGCAAAAATTTGGAGGTACCCCCGTACCCCCCAAACAGCTTTCGAAGCAAACCTGTTGTCTTTCGAAGCAAACGGCTTCCCCCCAAAAAAGGACCGCTCTCCCGCTTCTCCGCCTTTGTGAAGCGCTTCAGGGCATCGGGCCACTTCCTTTTCGCCGTGCGGAGTGCCCCAGGACCAAAGCCGCCACCGGTGGGTTTTGGGACCCCCTTCGACCCCCTCACATCTGGTCAAGGCTGTTTATCCCGTGACTGGGCTCCGTTCGGCCCACCTCCGGCAATCGGTTCGATGCCAGGGGTGGGAGGTCGACTGGGGGGGTCGAAGACCACCGGTCCACAGGGTCTGGGACGAGACAGGAGCCCTAGTCCGTGGACCGGGGCACCTGGTTCTTCCGTTCGTGCGAAGTCCTGAGGTCAGCTGAGACCGAGATCTGTCGCGCGTCGTGTGGAAGAAGCTGGGTGGTTTGGTCTGATGAATACAGACGAAGCTGGGTGTTGGGTCTGCCAAAACCCTGTAGGTGGTTTGCAATGATCTTGAAGAGCCCTCCAAGTGGAGAATGTGAATCACAATTGTCTAAGACATCTGCTATAAAACACGTTACCCTCAATTGACAGGGCCTGGGTTTTATCAAAGGCCCGAACAAGTCCAATTTTATATTAGGATTATACAGAGCTCTATAGGTATATAGTGTATCTTGATATCTGTCCTGTTGAGGAAATCAAGGTGGTCAGTGGTCACCACAAGAAAAGGCCGATGAGGGCCAATTGGAGGGCCGCTCATCCAGGCTCCGCTTCGAACTCATCCAAGCTTCTTCAACAGCTCTTCCGCCACCTTGCTGCCTGCACATCTAGCATGTGCACGCCCCGAGTTCAAGGGTCTGTAGTGAGGCGACAGGGGATGGTCTTGAGGAAGAGCATCCGGCAAATTCCCTCCGGTGATTCATGGACAGCTTCCGGATTGGCTAAAGGTTGTACGCCCATCATGTAACTTCAGACACGCAAGCCCAAGAAGCGCCCTAAAAAGACACACATTCTGCTTGTTCTGGGGCCTTCTCGCTTCTGGGCCCAGTTGTAGTCCAGAAAGAAAAATCGGACCTAGGTGTCTCGCCTGTGAGCTTGGCATGCTCACTCACGAGGCTCTTCAAGAGCGTCTTGTCCTGGAAACCGATCCAACGGACGCGGGTGGATGTGACCGCAACGGCCGAGTCGGTCAATGGCCGGAACAAAACGAAACGGTTCTCCAAACGGTTCGACTGCAGGGCGGGGCGGTCGATGCGCCCAGACATCATTGGACATTTGTTAGGGGTCTTCAAATCATGTTGCTGTTGGTATCTTCAAGGAGTCACAAAGGGGTGGTGTTTAGTCCCTAAGTGAGTGGATGGCCACCCCTAACCTCCATGGATCGCACCCCGACATGTGACTGTTGGTATCTTGATTGATTTATGTGGCTTATGCCACGTTCCACTGAAACCGAGACCCTTTCCAGATCCGAACAGTTCAGATTCCGGCTCAAGAGGTGTGTTTTTTTGATCCAAAAGACTGCCAGTAAGCTACCTGAACCTACCTTCCACCTGTACACGGTCTTCTCCATGCAGTTTTGCAGAGGATGTGATTGGTGCTTCCCTGCCTTTTGCAAGCTCTGCACCTGACTTGCAACAAAATCAAATCATGACTTCGGTGGACAACCCCATAAAATTGCTGAGGGGCAACAAAACAACCAGCACCAACAGTGTCCAAAACTTTTTGTTTGCTCCAGTGCTTACTGATGTTAAGCCTACAATGCCTACAACCACCCTTATCATCCCAACAATGGACGGGGTGGGTCAAAGAAAGATTGCTGATCAGTTCTTCTCGGGTGGGTTTAGCCGCCCGAATGGTGGGCCCAAGAATTCAGAAACCTCTTCCTGGAGCAGGTGGTTTTTGGACACCCCAAGTCACCTCTACCCTCACTGCCAGGTCACCAACAACAACCTGAGACAGGGGCCCTCCTCAACAACCCTCAACTAACGACCTGGCAGTGAGGGTGCGGCTATAGCAAGCAAACGGGCGATTCTTTTCAACAGTCTTTCTCCCTATGGATGAATCCCTTCCTGATGCCAGCTGGTTTCTATCTCCGGCTTTCCAGCCGGATGTAGTGTTTCTCCGTCTTCACCTCTTAGAAGGTGCAAAAAAACCACTGGAACCAACCGCTGTTGGAAGCTCCTGGAGAATCCACTCGTGGGTCAAGGCTTGGTCGGAGGAAGTGCCGACTCAACGGAACCACAAGGAGGGATGAGCAGGATCCCAAATGCGCGATTTGGTGGATTCCGAGGCCACCTCAGAAGTGATGAGTACATGTATATCCCAGGCCAGTATTGACTCGGGCCCGTTCCGGTCAGTCTATCATTTGAACTGAAACCGCTGGTGATGCAAGCCGCGGCCGTGGCCGCGCCAGCCGGCCCCTTCGGTTCCGGACGGACGAGCAGAACCAGCTCAGTCTCCAAAAAGCCACCCGAGGAGACGTGTAAAAAGCAATCCGTCAGGTGCTGGTGTAGGTAGATGTGTCGAAGAGAGATCGCAAAGAAAGGCTTCAGCCCCACCCCCCAATCCTACCAGGTCTTCAGGTCCTAGCATTCACCAAGTCTCACCCGAACCTGATGTCACCTCGTGCGCGGTCAGTCACCTCGGCACTCGCACGCCGGCGTGGGCACGTCGCTTGCGACATCGCTTGCGACGCGAGACGCGAGACGCGTCCTCTTCTTCTTCCATCTTCTCCAGGTGCACGCCCCCGACGTTGCAGAGTTTCCTGTGGCGCCATCGGTGGGTGCTGGATCCGAAGAAGGCTCCGAAGGCCTGGCCTTCTTCGAGGTTTCCATGGAGGGAGTCGGATAAAGGGAGTCAGGTGAGTTGACCACCCCCAAAATAAAGAACCCAAAGGCCATGACCTTCACCTTTTGACCTCTTTTACCTGATCCAATGATCAGTCACGCAACCAAGATTTAGACCTCCTGAGAAGATGCACCGAACCTGAGGAGATGGGACAGGAGCCCTAGGGCATGGTCTTACCCAAGAGTGATCCAAATCACTCGACCACGACCGCGATCATTCTTGTGATCCAAACGTTTTAACGTGCTGAGACGGAGCCTTTGGTCGTTTAGAACACGTCCGTTAAGCTGTGGGTGTTTTCGTTGTTTGTGGTCCAACATCGGTCCTTGAAAGAAACTCTAGTCACTAGTCCTTCAATCTCCCAACGAGTTCGGTCTGGCACTCGACAAGCAAACCCGCCAAAGCTGCGGCGCGACTCCGCCAAGGATCTCTTGCAGGTCCAGGACGAAGGCCACTCCGCCGCTCATGCCTGCGGCGAAGTTCTGTCCCATCTGTCCCAGGACCACCACAGTACCTGCACGACGGGCGCAGGCGGAGGTAGGAGGCCACGCGAGCCAACGAAGGAGCCAACCGGACGGAGTGCAGTGGATGGTTTTGGACGGAGGGGAGGAGCCAAGAGCTCTACATGATGATACAGAGCCATGGTCGAGTCCAAATGGAAGCAGAAAGAGCGCCTACCGGTGGTCAGTGGCCAGTTCCTGCAGAAAAATGGCCACTGTTTTGAGGCATAGAGAATCGGAGTCCAGCAATTGGTTCAAATAGCAATCATTTGTCGAACTCGACCCCTGTGAGCCCCCGCCTGATAGGGGGATACCCCGGCTCCAGCTCGACCCTTCCGAAACGCCAACAGCTCAGCAATCCCTTCAAAAAACTTGTCCCAGTTGATCATCAGAGTGGGGTCATGATTAGTTTCAACCAATCCAGGAGCTTTGTGAAATACTTTCGAAGAAAGTCTCCCTATTTCAATACACGCCCGAGGAATAAAACTTCGATCTTCGAACGTCGCCGCGATGGTGGTCCCAGAAAAACCAAATTCTGGTGGTCGCCACCGGTCCTACATACATCCAACATCCCCCGTGATTGTTCATAGGGGCGTCGATTTTTCATTTTATAAGCTCTGGGGGTTTATAAAATGTGTGGGTTAGGTTTTTTGGTTTATAAAATGAAAAACCAGCTAGTTTATAAAATGACCAGCACAGGTTATGATAGGTTAAGATAGAAATCGGCATCCAGGAAAAAAACATTTATGAAATGCGAATTGCGAATCGGAAATGTCCGAAATATGCCAAATCCGTAGCCTTTATAAAATGAACATTCGTATGTCAAGATCTATTTAAAAATGCCAAAATAACTAACAATTAACAATTAACTAGTTACTTTGTCCGCTCTTTTTCTCTCCCCCTGTCTCTGTGTCTATTCCCTTAACGGGGAGGGACACGGCGCACATCGGTGCACCACGGTGAGGGATGGCACCTCCACGGCGAACCGCGGGGAACCAACCGGTGCGCATCTTCGACGTGAACGGGTCCTTCACTCGGGTCTCCCTGTGTTGAATTGGACTTGCGGGTTCCAGAGGGGTTCCAGAGTTTATAAAATGATGATTCCTGACCAACCGGTTGGAATATTTTGCATTTTCCACTGGAATCCATTTTATAAACATCAGCTTTGTTTTTTTTGTAATCACATGTAATCACTAATTCTTGGAGTACAATCTTTTTTGAAATTTTGCGTGTTTTGCCAGGAGGGGTAGCTGCACAGGCGACTGCTTCTGAGCAGGTTGCCAAGGATGATGCAGGAGACTTGCGTCTTCGTAGTTGGTTTTTCCTTGGGGGTTCCAGAGGGGTTCCAGAGTTTATAAAATGATGATTCCCGACCCACAGGTCGGAATATTTCGTTTTTCCGCTGGAGTCCATTTTATAAACAGTGGGTTCAGATTCAGCCGTGGGTTATTCAAAATCTGAAATTTCAGAGCCTGAAAATTCAGAATCTGAATCATTAGCTGATGTATTTTGCATAGCTGTGTATAAGAACACAACATATTTTATCAATAAATAAATACATATATTATATTGATTTGTATGTACGGTTTGTATTGTTGATATGTTAGTTTTGTTCTATGTGCATAATATTGGCTGTCGGTTTGTAAAATGATGTTTTTATGCTTAAATGCAAATAAATCACCCTGAACAGTGTTTTTCATTTTATAGACTTCGTTTTTCTGCTAAAGATGATTGCTTGTTTGGATAGCTCTTGAGATCAGATCTGTTTTTTTCCTCCGACAACTCGACAAGTGAATTCTTATAAAATTGATCTGGGATTGTTCTTCCATGGTAGACCGTTAAGTGGTTTGATCTGGGATTTAGGCTTTGATCTGGGATTTAGGCTTTGACTGCATGATCATGGCAAGCTTTTGGGCTAGCAGTTGCTCATTTCCCTGCCCTTCATCAAGTGCTTGGAAATAAATGGAAGCGACTACATCAGAACCCCGCTCGAGCTCATGTTGGGCAACCTCTCGTCCAGTCATGGGCGATGTGAGTGCTAGAACATCCTCCTCCTTCCTAGCAGAAGCAGAGCCAGAAGTACTTTTGCGGACCGCGATCGGCTCCATTCATTGAGGAGGGAATCGAATCGAGTTCGACATGCTTGAGAATGATCATATGTTCCCTCTCGGCAGCCGTCACAACCAGGAGTTTTACCATGAACCGCTATCCGCAGTGTAGTGATTGCTCGGTGGCGTTTCAGTTTTGGGCGCCCCGATGGGGAACTTCCCGCGCCCGGCGCTGGGTAAGCTTCCACTGGTTTGCCCTCCACTTCGCCTTTCTCTTCTCGGATCTGATCTGGGTCCGCAACACTCTCTGCAGGGGTAGTGGGTTCATACTCATCGTCAAGGGGTTCGGGTATAGGCTCTTCAAAGGCTGACGCCTCCGCCTTAATCGCTGGAAATGTCCACCCTCCATTGGGGATAGCAAGAGTGCGGGTAACAAACTCCTTAAAAAACGCCTTTCTCAAATGCATCCAGTGGCCAAACCCCATAATTTCCTTTGAAAAGAAAACCATCTACAAGCTCAGCGCCCAGAAACAAAGCTGGTTCTCCCTTAGGGCCATATGCGTACGGATTGGGATCTTTGTACCACACAAGTGCACCAAAGGGAATCAAGTATGAATCAACCAGGTAACCCATGGCGTTTTCGTATCTGATGGGTTTACACTCTTCGTCACGATCAACTCCCAGGGCCTGAGTAGTTATGTTGTACATCCACTCAAGGTACTTTTGCGCTAAAGGCCAGTATTGATGTTCCAGACCAGAATGCAAGAGCACTCCAGCAGTCATGCCTTTTATTGCGCGAATACTCGATTCCGCCAAGGCATTATGCAGTTTCTGGTATGGTGGGGAAGGCTCACTGGCGAAACCCAAATCCTTCAACGCTTTCAGAATTTCGGGGGGCCCTATCGCTAGCTACCTGAACAACGCCGGGGCGTCTTTTCCCACACAATCTTCGAAGCGCCATTTCAACTTCGTACGCTTCTTTGGTTTGGCATGGAACCATCGAGGTCAAACCAGTGAATTGATCAACAATGACAAAGGTGCAACACTCCCCCCCGAAACCCGACTTCCCTTCGAACGACGATGTGGTCCACTGAGAGCTTTTCAAGGTAGTGGGTCGGAGCCTCAATCCTACGAGATTCTTGCAACCGAGCATTCATGTGTTCGGCTCTCCGGTGCGGAACCTCATACAATTTAGCCCTTTTACAGGTGTCACAATCTCTGGATTTGGGTAAATGAGTCAACAGGTGATTTGGAGGGATGCCTTCAACTTCCTCATCATGTTGTTCAGGCCCGATTTCCCCCGCCCCTTCGACAGCGTCCGCGTCATGCGCATGGTGATCAACACGCGACGGACGAGCGACATCGGAAACAATGGGAGCTTCATCAACGGGCGCATCAGGTCTACTACCCCCCCCAGCAAATCCAGCAGGAACCGATGGAGATGCTGGCAAGCCATAGGTGCAATCGATAGACAGACGAAAAACAGGGACGTGATGTTCAACACGGTCAGCTTGAGTCACGGGTCCCTCAACAGTGTAGTCAAACTGTGTAGTGGGAGGAATCAACATGGGAAGAGAGCCCCCCCGACCAGAGGAAGGAGTATCCCTCAGAACACAACTGACCGATAGATAACGCAAGTGGGCAGTTGGGCAACAAGTACACATTGCTGACTCGGTCAAATTCTTGACTCCAAAAGCCAACGGTCTTAGTACCCGACTTGTGGCCCCCTCCCGCAAGAAACGTGACAGGTTGCGACGATTGCGTCACAAATTCATCTGGGAGCTCAAAGCCTTGCCTCCGAAAAGCCTCCACCGAGCCCAGGCACTCACCTGCCCCGGTGTCCCCAACGAACTCAAGGCTCAAAGTAGAAGGAGACGTGCGGGATTCTTGGGAGCTCCTGGGCAATCCTTTCAGCGATGGCTACAACACACCTAATCCCGGAGGCAGATGAGGGTTCAGATGTGGGTTGGTGTTGTCCTCTTAAGGTTGCCTCAATCAAAGACTTTGACAACTGGATCTTTTTACCACCCCTTTCCCCTCTGGGCATACACCAGAGCAACCGTGCTTCAAATCGTCGATCGCACGCACGTCAGCAGCGCAAAGTGAGGAGAAGAAAGTGGAGTACCCAAAACGAAACACGGGACCGCGCAATGGCAATAGAGAGAATCGACAGGGATGAGCCTACGGCTGATGACCACAACTTTCGGTGGTTCAGCCCTTTTGGATGACTTCAGCCAAAGATCCATGAGACATCTTGTCTCCAACGACGTGAAACGGCTCCTGGATTCTTCGTGTAGTAGTAGTAGTAGTAGGAGGTAGTAGTAGTAGTAGTAGTAGTAGTAGTAGTAGTAGTGGTAGTAGTAGTAGTAGTAGTTGTAGTAGTAGTAGTAGTAGCGGTAGTAGTGGCTTTTGAAAGTCTGTAACACGGAAGTTGTGCACCCCAAACTTACTTTGACAAATAGAAGATTCATAGATAATGACGCAAATAGACTATATCTACAAATTCAAAGGTTGGAAGTCGAGAGGCTTGCATCTGAATAGGGGTAGGCGTTTCAATTCCCATCTCCTTGATAGCCGTTAAATAGTCAGCAGGAATCTTTGCATGGGTCAAACAATCCACTGGTGATGGGGCTGCAGGTCGATACTTGTACGGACCAATTGTGATGTTGTGCCTCAAGCGCATTTGCGCAACATGGTCCCTCGTCCACGCACGCACTGTAGGATCTCCAACCTTGGCACGCGGTGGGAAACAGGAAAGCGGACAAATACCTGTCATAGTCCACGCGTCAAATTCAAACTCCACATTCACAAACATCCGTTTGAGACCAAACCGTTTGTATGAGAATCCCAGAACACTGAGAAACACCGGACATCCCAACCAACAATTGTTCTCTCTCCTCCCTCCAAACCAGGCTTCGTAAAAGTCCTTCAGAATCTTCAGACAGGGTCTGATGCTTTCATGTCTTCTGGTAGTTCTGGTAGCTCTCATGTCTTCGGCGCAAGCTTGAGCTTCGAAGCAACAAACGTAACCAAAACGGTGACCAAAGAGGGACTCAGCTAGCAAGCTAGCTTTCGCGACAACCACCCGAACAAAGTGCACTCAATCATCAACATACAAGCAACACAAACAAAAGATACAAATGCTCACTCAATCATCAAACCAGTCTCTTCAATCATCTGAATCGTCCCTGTCTTAAGACGTTCTTCATTTACCAGGCCGTCGACAAAGAATCCTCCAATATGTTCCATTGTGCGACCACGGGTAGTCAAGACCTTAGATGTGAGTTCCCAATCCATATAATCGATGACAATAGGTTTATTCCACTCACTCACCAAACAAACTTATACACAAACATCACAAGCGCATCAAAACAATTATCCCGGCAAGAGACCCCAAACAGTGTGCGTGAGGTCTGTAAGCAGAAAGTCTAGAGATCTAGACGCATTGGGATCATGGTGGTGATGAAGTGAAGGTGAGTGTGAGTGAGTGTGAGTGAGTGTGGGTGAGAGGGAGTGTGAGTGTGGGTGCGAGTGGGAGAGTGAGTGCGAGTGTGAGTGAGAGTGAGTGTGGGTGAGAGTGAGAGTGAGAGTGAGTGTGAGTGTGAGTGCAAGTGAGCGTCCCCTCAGTGTGCCCACACTGTTTGGGGAAAAAACTCAAAATTGTCATACAATTCATTAGCAACAATTACAAACTCATACAACATAAACCAACACAAAACAAAAAACTACGTCAACATGGACTGGGACGCTTTGCCTCTCTGCTGAGGCCACCGCAACCAATGTTCTGTGAATATCAGGCACTGGTTCTGGTTGCACCAAGTCCAGGGCCCCTGGTTTATCCAACCATTCCAGCTGTATAACCAAATACGCCCACTGATATTGACGCCATCACCTCCTGATCAGGGGAAATCATCAAAAGGACTGATAATACTGATAGATGACTGATAGTTATTTAAACGATGATGATGGCTGATAGCTTTGTTGTCATATATGATAGATGTGTAAAATGGTTAAAAAGCATATATCGAAATTCTCATATGGCCAAGTTTCTCTGTGATTGATCATGAACAAGCGCGCACCACCCGTCCCAGGGATTCGTGCCCTTGTGGAGATAATAGAAGACGCTGACTCTTGTTTTACCAGTCCCAGTATGTTGGTCCATGGCGCAACTTTGTTTGTATCCAATAGAAGACGCTGACTCTCGCGTTGTACACTATCCATGGCGCCAAGGAAAACAACGTCCAACTCTCTCCAAGCCTGACAGCTAGTTGAGCCAGCAAAACCATGACGATGATTTGTGTGAAAATACGAGATAACACTCAATGTGTGTTTGTCGGAATTGGGAAGTAACAAGTAGACTCCTACAAAGCTGCAATCCCTGCATATTAGTAACCCAAGTTCTAGGGTTCCGTGCTCCAGGCGCCCATGAGCAACTCAATATTGCAAACATCATCCAACTAGTTGTGATACCCACCTGCCACCACATACCATGTTACAATGCTTCACCTGCTTTTTTGGTCTCAAATCCTGCACGAGTACCAGCCGTCCATCATCGGAACCGCTGGCGGAGATTGGGTGTTGAGTTGAGATGGTCAATCAGCCGTCACTGTGGCAAAGTCGCTTCTGCTTCTCGACGGCTACACGTTTCTCGTGTCCGTTTCAGAGAGACCACCACTTGACAACAGTACCCCCACCTCACAAGCCATTCGCAAGCTGAGTCACTCACTATCTTTCTCACTGACTCCACACCTGGACGAATTTCCACAACCTCCACACCACCCGCAAAACTCACAACCTCACGCCACCCATCAAACGCCACCCTCACGACCAGGTGACCGGGTACCTCCGTCATATGACTCTTGATGAATCAAACTCCCCAAGCCTGAGGAGCTTCTACAATCCAATTCAATTGGGCTATTCATCGAGAGTCTACCAATTATGACTTCCAAGCCAGGACCTATGTGTGTCTTTTTGTGGCAAGCTGGTTGGTTTTCACCGGATGTCCATGTGTAGACTCTACAAATGGACGACTGTCCCATCTCTCCATCGCAGAACTGCGACTTCGAACTGCCTGCGACCCCCCACGCCGCGGTCGCGCCTCGCGTCATGTACTCGCAGCCGTGGTCGCCCACGCCCTCGCAGACCGCTGTGGCGCCGGAGTTGCGCACGGCGAAGCGCTCCGCGGCGATGCCGCCGAAGAAGGCCTCGGTGGGTTGCGCGGCGCGAACGGTCAAAGCCAACGCACGGTCTTCGTCAAGCCGCGAGGGGGGCACGAAGGACCAAAAGCTGCGGAAGAAATGCAGAAAGATCGCAGAATGACTTAGTTTAGAGCTCCCTTCTTTTGATACTCTGTCCCTTTCTTTTTGAAAGTCCTGAGCTATAGGTAAAACACGACACCTCAATCCACCTTCACCTTCCAAGGACAGTACGCCAGTACCCATCAAACCATACAAGTCCAAAAACCAACCTCACCCCCACCTAAACCCCACTCCAAAGCACACAAAGCACAAGAAAAACCATAGAATCTTATATTGACTACTATATACAGTACCTCCTCTACAACCCCAAGGTCCCCCTCTAAAAAACGAAACAAACGTCCCTTTCTCCGCTCCCTCTCGCTACCCGCTCCCCTCTCGACCTCCGCTTGCAGTCGCTCCCCCCCGGTCCCGGTCCCCGCCTTGCCGCTGGTGGCGCCGTAGAGCGCCGCGTTGCCGGCGATGATCGCCTCCTTGGAGTCGTAGTCTGCCTGGCAGTCGAGGGGGCTGGCTCCGTCGAGGGGCTGAGCGGGTGAGCGGGTGGGTGGTGCTTCAAGAGATGGTGGAAGAGAAAAAAGGAAAAGGCTGGACTGACCGAAGTAGGGACATGAAAACCGCCTTCTTCGTTTTTGTGGTGTTCTTCTTTTTTGGATATATGATTATGATGTTTTAGGTCGGGAATGCAAAGGAAGGTCTAAAAAAAGTTGAGCTTTTGCGTCTTCACATTCGGAAGGAAGAAGAAACTGGTCTCTCAAGGAACGAGATGTTTGGTCACAACATGGCCAATGGCCATGGGGTGACGAACACACGAACACGCCTGCTTGGGCTTGTAGACGATGATGGTTCCGCCACTGAGGCCTTTGCCGATGTAGTCGTTGGCGTCGCCTTCCAACTCAAAGGTGATGCCTGGCGCGCGTCGTTGTCGTGCGTCGGTTGTCGAAGGGGTGGTACAGCCCAGACGCTCCACAGAGCCGACTGGTCCCTCAAAACCTAGGGATTGGTTCGACCCCAGACCCCTCCATATGAGGGCCATCAGCGTCTGGGAGGGTGCTTTTTAAGACTTCAAAAGAGCTTCAAGTGGTGAAGCATTCTGTCGAAGGAGATGTGTCTACAGCTTTCAACTGAGCATCTCTCATTCTAATATCTCAGAAACAGATGGGGGCAGGTGTGATTTGGAAGAGAGAAAATGTCAACATCGCTCACTACATGATCACAGACGATTGGAGCTGGGCATGCCATTGGAACTGCAAACATCCTCTCCCACTCTTTTGTGTCAACGAAGAGTGCCTTCCACCCGTGGGCCCCCAAATCGGCCCGAAAACCACTCGCTGCTTTCGGTCGCCTGGGCGAACTCTCGCCGCACGTTCCCCCGAAACCACCCGCTGGCTCCGCTCGTTCCCCCGAAACCTCCCGTGCGGTGCCGGTTTGGCTCGGCCTGGTGCCAAGAAGTTGCCGAAGGATTGTCCTGAGCTGCCCAGGAAGCCAATGTGCAAGGAGCCCTGTCGACAGATGTGGCGGTGTCGGACCGACGACCCGTTCGCGCGCGGCCAGGGCGATGACTCATCCGCAGAGATGCAAGCTCATGTTTGCCATGCTGTTCAGCTCATGGTGTTGAAATCTTCAACCTCATTCAACCTCCTCACCAGCACGCATTTCAGCGCATGTTTTGTAGGGTGGCCTTGAAACTCATATATCTCATATCTTATCAACCCTTTGAGAGCTTCAATTTGTGGACATCGTCGTAAACGAACGCTTCGACACTTTCCCGGACCCCCCCCGTTGACTGCAGGAAGTCCATCGTCCTAAACGAACGAAGTTCCGATGTTCCGATTCCAGCATCCCATGACTGCAACCCTCGGACACCAATGGTGTCCCAACAAGAAGACCTCTGGGACCCTTACAAAAATGGTTTCTTTGAGGCCACCGAAATACTCCAAGCTTCCAAGCTACCCACCTCTTCTGGAAAACCAGTACACCGTTTCCGGCACTCCAAACAAACTTCTTCCGACCTCGGGGAGCCCTTCAGCACCAAACTTCTTGCTCACCTCGCGCTGGTCACTGCTCGCTGCGGAGAGCAGCGGGGGAAACCGGAGCGGCGGTTTACACGCGAAGCAGCTGATGCGAACCGACAAAGCTTCGTGGATGCTGCAAAACCGGAGTCAACTGAGCAACAAATTGCAAATAGAACCAGTCTAAATGCAGGGGTTCAATGCAGAGTCGGTATGTTGTGTGTTGTCAAGCAATTGCTCCACACAGCTGCATGAGGGCCCTCTTCTGTGTTGAGCTGCAAAGTGTAGGCATATCTATAGGTCCTAGAAACCGCACAAACTCTATCCCTTGAAAAGCCTACCTCAAATCAAATCATCTCAAATCTCACCGTCATGTTTTTGTTCCATCATCCACCGTCGGTTTGACCCACCGAACCACCTTCGGTTTGACCCACCCGCCCCGAACACCGCCCGCCCGAACTCGCGCTCACCTCGAAGCTCAAGATGCCGCCCACGGACCGGTCCACGTTGTTGATCGGCACCGACTTCAGCCGCACCTCACCGAACCGAGGCGGGTGACGTTCGGCGGCTGACGCGGGAAACGGCCCAGCTTACGGCGTTCGTGAACGGGTGGGGCCGGTCTGCCCGGGGGTCGCGGAACGGGGGTCCACTTCCCCGACCTCTCCCGAAGTGGTGCGTAGGACGTAGTGCAGTCTGCGACCCTGCTCTTGGAAGTCCCTTTCGGCGGTCGTACTGCGGTTTCTCGCCGGATTTCCGGCCGAAACAGCAGCTGAAGTGACCACTTCCAATCCGAACACTTAGATGTCTCCCGTCAGGAATTCACAGGTAAGCCCATAGTGGACCACGCCTTCAAGTTCTTGACCCATGCCCCCCATTCACTGGCAACCTTTGAGTTCGCCGTGGCGGTTCGCCTGGTTCTCGCCCCTGGCTTCGGTGACCGCGTTGGAGCAGCGGCTCACCAGGCTCTGGTCCAAAGCATGCGCCAACTCGTGGTCCTCCCAGGGGGCAGCCGCAGCTGCAAGGTGGAAATTCGTGGAGCGCACGTCTTCGTCTTTCCAAAGGATCCAAAGGCAGAAAGGTGGTGACAAAGGCGCAAGCGAGAAGGTGGTTGGTAGTGGTAGAGCTGGGACAACGTCTGGTGGGAGGGTGGGCAAAATATGGCAGGAGGCAATGGATATATCGTAGCTAGCCGTCCGCCACTGTGACTGTGTCATTTGCTGCATAGCTTTGTCACTTCCCCAAAAACTGACCTATGATGAACCTGTGTGTAAGGACTGTCATCCAAGTAGAGTGATTTGGGGGTTCGTTTGGATCTTTTGGGAGCCTCGCCTTCCAGAAGTTCCCCCCGAAAATAGCCCGTCCACACCAAGCATTTCACCGTTCACGGTCCTGGGGCTCGCAGCAGAACATGGGGTTGTCCGCTGAGTTGCCTTGGACTGCGAAAAGAAACACATCAAAAAGACATCAACGGTACCAGCATCCTCCAACAGGTGTCCTCTATATATAGAGGGTTGGGAAGGACCCTAACAGGTCTCAATTGGGGACCTGGCAGTGAGGATGCTGGTACATGTGAAAAGCCTCCTCCCACCCTGAATGATGCTAATGCTTACTCATTGTGTGGACTCAATGAAAAGTTGCCCCACTTGTTGGTACCTGGCCAAACCAAAATTCAGCATACCAGGACCCTCCGTTCGGGGTGTCTATAAACAGCCTCTTACAGAGGTGTCCAAAAGCCGTTGGAAAGTCCTGGTAGACAGTCCATCAAAACCCTAACACCTAAAAACCTTAGGGTTTCAAAGCCCTGGCTTTGGACCTTAGGGTTTCATCCCCCCAAAAAAAATGAAACCTCGCCCCCACCCCGCCACGAAACCCCGCCACTCCGTGCCCAAACCGACAGAACACCCGCCGGCGAGTCGCGAGCCTGGGACGCTGGATACACGCGAAAACACGACCGCGATAGGATAGGGCCGTGAGGCCCATCATGGACTCCATGGTCCAAGCGGGTTTCAGCAAATCGGCGAAATCCTCGAACCAACGGCAGTTCGGAGGGAGGAAGGAGTTGCGGCGCTCGGACCGACGCGACCATCCCTCTGGGTGCCGAACGGACCTTCGGAGGGCTCGCAGGGAGAAGCCAGAATTCTCGGGTGGTGGCTTTTGGTTGGGGGGGAGGGGTGGCGCTGGGTGTGTTTGAAGCCAAAAGGCATGGGAGCTTCCCACGGAGTCCAAATCGATGGGTTTTTGATGTGCAACGCATCTTTCAAGGAGACTCAGTGAGATCATATCTATGACGGACATTTCTGGGCGTATCAAACCCATGTTGGAAGGCCCAGATGAGCTGGTGGAGCAGAGTGTTGAAACCACCCTGTTCTCCCACATGCCTGTGGGTCAAAACCGGACTACCTGGGTTGACCAAAGAAAATGAACAGAATGGACTACTCCAGAATGGACGACTTGTAGGTTCAAGGATCCGGGGCCTTAAGCTGAAGGCCTGTCCGAGCCCAGACATGAGCTCTGTTTTGATAGACAGTTGGATGATATTTGGGGTGGTTGGTGCTCCAAAAGAGAGGTCACTCAGGCCCACTCGGCCCTAGGGGTACATCCAAACCTGCCAAAAGTGTCGGGTCCAACGCTGGTCACAGGGCTTCTTGGGAGCCATCTACAAGCTCAGCCCATGCTGCCCAAACACCAGGTCCGCCGTCTTGGGGTTGTCCTTCAAGTAGCCCTTGGGCCTTGATCACCCAGGCAGCCCCTTGAAGTTGTGGTGTTTCTGGAGTTACCCTACAAGTGCAGTCTGACCCAGTAAAACCTGGTCTTTCACCTCCTGAAGTATGGGTTAGTTTTGTATGACCATCTCCAGTAAAGTCGAACTGACTTGTAGGCTTAGGTGCTTCAGTCGGACTGGACGACACGTCGTGGAATCCCTCCGAGCGAAGGTGGGACCGACACGTCGGTCTCCAAAAGAACGACCCCCAGCAGCCAAATGAACCACCACCATGATGAGATTGATCTATCCACCAGCAGTCACGGGGTGCGATCCATGGAGGTAGTCGGGGTGGCTTAGGGACTAAACACCACCCCGTCATGTGACTCGTGACAGGGAATTTGTCAAATCAATCATGGTGAGAAGAAGCCATCTGGCCTCTGTACTCTTGGTTGAAGGAAGAAATTCAATCCCATACCACCCGGATGATTGAAGGACCTACGCCCATCGGTGGGTCAAACCCACCAAGCATGGTATGAGGCTGCTTGATCACTGGCGCTGTGTTTCACGAACACTCTGAAGCTGGTCCACCTTATTAGCTAGGTCTAGAGTCTAGAGTCTATATGCCCCCCCAACCCCACAACCACATTTGGATGTAGAATCCCATCCCATACGAAGACCAAAACGAACCAAAAGAGCCATCTGCTTGGCATCTACAGGGATGTCCATCTCCTACTCTCCCACACTAGCTTCTCCCACACTAGCTCGCACCAGCTCCCCCAGCTCTCCACCCTCTCCCGAGCCCGACCCGAAAAAACCTGCCATGCAGACCCAACGACCAGCGGCCAACGCCCTGGAACCGAATGCACACCCCTCGACCCCCCACTCCGCAGGAGGTGACCACTCGAGACTCGTGGGCCTTAAGAGGTCAGTGCGGCCAATGAGATCGTTGAACTTCTTGATGCCCAGGGAGGCCATGATCTCGCGCGCTTCCTCATCATGGCCGTTGCGGGCGAGGCGAGGCGACCGTTGCACGGGCGAAAGGGTCTGGTGCCGAGCGACCTTCGTGTGCCGTGGCCGACGAAGCGGATCCTATGTTGGTTGGGTCTCGTGACGAGAGCGCCTGGTCGTCGCGAAACCCAACAGGGCTCTCAGGCTCTCAGGCTCTCAGGCTTAGCTCCGGGGGAAGAGGGGCGCCAAAGGCGCCGCTTTCAACCCAGTCCCGCAACGCACTCTTCCGCCCAATTCCTTCATCCTCCTATAGTGAGCTGTATAGCATGTATGTGTGTTTGTGCCCCCTGAGGCGAAACCAATTGCATGCGCATGCTTATGTTTAAGTTGCAGAAGTCCACCTGGCTTTCTCCTGCTTTTCACTTCAGTTCCGGTATCCCAAACCCACCAAAGCGCAACTCCCATGCAGTGAACCCTCCCAAAAAATGTGCAAGAGCCCCAACCTCTCCAGGTTCCCCCCATCTCTCTCCCCCCTCCAGTGCCGAGACCGAAACAAAAAAAAAAGGCACTCTCGCTCCAGTCGGGTTCCTCGCTCCACAACCCATGGACGCCGGGTCCTCATATTCCTCGCTTGGACGGTCCTCCGGTCCTTTCGACCGTTCCGATTCCACCGAACTCCGTCCTCGGCCACCATGAAGAGGAAGTTGATCAAATGCTCCGGCTGTCCCGTGAACTTGGCACGCAGCTCCGGGTCCTGCGGAGGCGGCTGACTTCGGAGAAGTCACGGCACCGGAGGAGGGAGCGGAACCGGAGGAGTGTCGGAGTGGAGTGTGGGAGGAGTGGAGCACACATCATGGAAGTTCAACCATGGATGGGTGTGTAACAGGGAGATCCCCCAAACCAGTAGGTGTTGGTCTCTGTTCCTTCTTCCAGGGGGGTCGAATAGGGGTTGGTCTCCCTATTTGAATACACACTCATTTCAACCCCCTCTATGTGAAGAGGTGGCTCATGTCGTGTGGTTGTGTAGTAAAGATGTACTGCAACCAGTCCTTCTGTTAATGGAGAAGACCAAGTTCAGCCCCATATCACATTGAATTTAGAGCGTGGGAGGTCCTCCAACTATGAGATGCTTTTTTTGGAGCTCCATTCCTTCAACTTACCATAGCCTTCGCCCTTCGCACGATCCTTGCTATGGAAAGCAAGTGATCAGCCTGCAGGAGAAGCACAAAGCCTCCAAATATTCAAAATCCCCGACTGAATAGAGCTTCAGTGTGTTGACTGTAGACAAAAAAAGACACCAATTCAAGTTAGCATCATTCAATCATCCCAAATAATACGGGCACTTGATCGGCCAAACAGTTACTGGAGTTTACCCAAGCAACACTTCAAGAGCACAACAATCACCTCCCCTCTGCCCGGGCGGACCTGTGTGGCGACACCCACCGGGCAAGTGTTCAAGTGGCACTTACCTCACCATCAGTGGCCACAGGGACGACCCAAATCCATTGCCCATTGATGGCCGGCAGCATTCGAGTGACCTTCGACAGCATCTGTGGGAAAAAGGATCCACCAAGATGTCATGTACTCCCCATAATGAGGATAACCTGACCTTTCTCTGAGGGAGGCCTCCCTCTCTTTTACTCTTTTACAGCTAGAGGTACTTCAGTTGAGCAGACTAAATCAGTTGCTGGCAACAGAACATTCCAAGCTTTAAACCCCTCGTTCACTTCGGAAGGGGGCCACATCTTCCTCATGTTGTCCTATTTTGTCCAATCCCGCAGCCCATCCAGGGGTGACCGCGTGCGCCGTGCGTGCGCCGGGCCACGCATCATGATGCAGCCCAGCGTGATCAGTGGTGCGGTGGTCATCGCAATCTCCTGTTCGCGGAGCGTCGTGACCCGAGGTTCGTTTCTGCACCAGCACTCAACGAAGCCCACAACATGGAAAATTCATGCCATTCGGGTCCTTCAGCAAGAATCGTCTCAGCCCAGCCGAATGTTTCACCCTACGAGATGTTCAGAACTTGCAGGCCGTCATGTTCCATCCGTGGCATCCGAGTCACTACACTCTGACGAACACATCACATGGAAGTGGATGGCATGGCCTCTTGGAAGACTACTTTCCTCTACAAACAGTGGGTTTTCCACTTCCATGTGATGTGTTGGTCGGAGTGTAGTGACTCTTGGGCTGCTTGAGGATGAGACTTTGGCACTTTGCTCCGCCAAAGTGACCTTGGGCCGCCCTACATCCGCCCAGTCCTGCTTTTTGGCACGACCTGGCGAGCCAAAACCTGCTCTTTGGCAGGGATGGCTCTCTGCTCTTCCGGCTCCGGTAAGTTCTTCCAGGTGTTTCTGAACAGAACGAAAATGAGACTGATGCACACCACTCGTCCTGCAACCCCAGACAAGTTCAACAGGCCATGCAAAACAACGGATGGCCCCAGCACGGTGCACAGCATGCTGAGAGTCAGGCGAGGATATTTGGACGGTTCGGAGGCAAACTTGGCAAAGCGGCCAGCCACTATGCCACTCAAGTACGGGTGCGGATTCAAGAAAATCCGGAAGCAAATGTTCTGCAGCAAGCAGCAACCTGGCATACTCGTCACCGTAGCGACGTTCCCCAAGTATCCAAAGTTCTCGTGCACCATGAAGCCAACCCCAACACTGAAACCAGCCAACATGAGACCTCGTGGGCTCTCTGGCCACAGCTTGGCTGTGGACCTGCGCCGCGCCCTCCGCCAGGGCCGGAAGCCAGACCAAGAAAGCCAAATGAGTGCCACGAGCTTACCGGCCTCCTCCACTGCACCAATGGAGCTGGTAGAAACCAAGAAGTCTGCCAGCAAGGGCCAGAGTAGGAGAAGGCCTGGTAACACCAGTCCACAAATGAGAGATGACCACAGGACGCCGAGAGTGGCACCTCGCAAGGCAAAATGTGCCATCTTGCCTCGTTCCACTTGCACTGAGCCCTTCATCCACCCCATCAATTGTAGGAGTCCAGAAAGCGCTGACCAGAGCACTAGATCGGTGCTTCCCTCCAGAAAGAGCACTATCACGATGGCCCACCACACAAAAAGGTTCCAAGACCAGCCTGCCTTCTTCGCAGCCGGGGCATTCGGAGGCGCAGCATTCAGCTCCGCACGCAGCTCCGCACGCGTCGCACGGTTCTCTCGAAGTGACGGTCGGCGGCCCAGTGACGGTCGCAGTGCGCCCTCTCTGTACGTCTGTGGCACGCCTGCAAAAGCAGCGCCGGCATGGACACCAGTCCAGCTGGGCGCTCTGTCACGTCTCTGGTCAACGACACATGCACTCACATAAGCCAGTACCCAACACAAAGCTGACCATTGTCCCATGGCAACCTGCAGTGGAGCACTAAAACGAGCCACACAGCTCTTCTGCGCAGCGCTGGGGAGCCCTTGAGTGTAATGGCTGAAGTTGGGTTTCACTGGGGATTTTGCAGAATCAGTGGAATGGCGGAAGGGTTTCGGTTGGTTCGATGATAGTTTTTGCAAGGCCTCCAAGCCAGTTCAAGTCTGCTTAGGCCCCAGGAGGATCGAGGATCATTGAAGATGCAGGCTCCGGAAACAGTGAACTACGCTGGAACCTCTTGTTTGGACCACGAGATATTGGTCGGGTCGTACATGTCTGAGCAAGCTTGTCCACATGCAACAAGTATTCAGACTCCATGCTGAGCTATGCTGGGCCGATTCAGCTCCATGCAGAATGAGCCAAAGAAGTGGCCAGAGGTGGGGACAAGGAATGCACCAGGAGTTCCACTCCGGGGGTGCGCCCGCGCAATGAACGCGCGGGTTGGTGGAGACATTTATTGGAGTGCTTTTTCTCGAGTCCGTTCCACCCAGAACGGACTCGTATGCAGTGGATGGAGCGCATGGAACCCTCTGAACGGAACATCCAAATGATTGTTTGATTATCTTGGTCGAACTTCGTGGATCCTTGAGTCGCAGACTTGATGGAAAAGAAAAATAACATGTGTCTGTTGCCATGTAGCAAGACACTTCCCCCAAAACAAGCCAGGACCGCCCTGGCTTGCTGCAGGGTCTTGGTCTTTCACATCGGTGATCTCACCAAGCACCAAGCACCCACCCGCCCTCCACTCATGCAGATGTTGATTCAGCAAAACACACACCGTCCCATGGATTGTAAAACCTCTTCACATGGACCGTTTGGTTTTATAAGTCTATATACATGACTCGACCGAAATACTCCAGACTGGAATATCTGCAGTGCCGAAAAAAAGAAGAGAAACACCCCCAAACTGAGCTTGATATCCTCACCCTGCACTTCGAAACCACATGGAACCCCAGACCCAACTGGCTTGCTGCTCAGGTTCCGCCCTGACCGCCCTGACCGGTGCTCAGCATCCACCGCACCGCTCCGCCCTGACCGCCCCTCCTCGGCTCCCAGCATGGCGGCGATCACCACGTCGCGGCCCGTGCGCACTTGCCCGTCCGTCTGCAAGGTCACGCGGTTCCTGTTCACCGGTGAGTCCACGCGGTGGGAGGACTTCACCGGTCTCTTAACAAGCAGCTCCAACCAATGGTGGTCATGGTGGTCAAGCATGGTGAAAAGCCCGTCTGAATCCCAAAGAACCATGGTTTTACCATGGAATTGACACAACAACACCAGGTGTCCGGAAGATCATGGCTTCTGTTTTGGACCACGCTTTCCACCCAAGGTCAGTCAGGTCCAACATCCGATCAAAAGAGGGGTCATTCACCTGGGCTCTAGGTGAATGAATCCCAAACAACCATGGTTCTATTAAGAAATGTTTACACTGGAAATCCAGGTCAACCCTATTTTGGTCGAACGGAAGGCCGGGGCACCGCAGGGCACCGCAGGGCACCGCAGGGCACCGCAGGGCACC